TGGGAGAAATTATCTTCATCTCGAATAAAAAAAAGATTTAAAAAAAAACAAACAAAAAACAAAAAAAAAAAACAACAAAAAACAAATTTGATAATATATAAATACATCGGAAAATACCGAACATTTTAGGTTAATTAATTAATTGGTCAGTGCAATTAACCTTTCCCGAATTCGCTTGACTGACCACTAAACAATGGTTTCAAGTCAAGGTTGGACTTGATGAATAAAAGAAACCACTTGTAGTCTTGACTTCAACCCATCGCTTCGTGGTCATCCAATCAAATTCGACTTCGGGCAAAGTAGGAAAAGAAAGAAAATCAATGTTTAGTCACATATATTTATTCATAATCAAATGCATGTTTGGAATTATAGCGAATCAGAAATACGTTTTAGTAAATGTGTCATTAAAAAAAAAGATGATTTTTGTGCGCTCAATTTTTGTTTTTATTTTAAAACATTGGTCAGCCATAACAGCTAAAGGGGAAATAAAAAATGGGTCATTTCAGGTGGGGAGATTGGACGTGCTTATCAAATGAGGGATAGTCAAAGGATTCGCGTGTATTAGGGAACGGACGATGCATCATTTAAAATTTATAAAGCTCCCCTTCTATATGGATATATTAATCAAAGGTGCTTTATGCAATGGAAATAGGTTTTGCACCATCTCGTGCCGGCGCCCATAATACAGCTCGAACTGTTTGTGGTTAGAATGCAGAGCAATAAATTCCCATTGCTCTCTTGGGATTGATTTCTTTCTCMCGTAAAACGATTGTAATGCTTCTACTATAATCTAACATGGTTGCCTTCACGTGATGGTGCAAAACCTTTATAGTGAATTAATTTCAGATTGCTTTTTTATACACTTTAAAAACATGAGACGTGGTTCGTATGAGGTGTAGAAACTGAGGGTGGTCACTGCCAGGTTTCTTTACGTCCTCAGTAGTTCTTTTACGTCCCTCCGATGTTGGTTAGTAATGATGAGTGCGGAGAAACGGGACCGCCATTTTTGTGGTCATTCAAACCACTTAAAAGTTATTTTGAGGCCGGGACTCGAACCACAAACTCCCGTACAAAGTCCGATTGCTTAATAAAATGAGCCAACCGGTTAGCGTTTGTAATAAATGCCCTGTTTTAAGAGTATTCAAAGCTGAAGCTATAATGCTAACACGGATTAAAAAGTAGTCGGAGCAAATCACCTCTAGCTCTGATATCAGCTACTTTGGCTTACTTTACTTTAGCTACTTTAGCTGATATTGATGTGACCGAAAAACAAAATCTATCTATAAAGGTAAAAAAAACTTTGCATTACAGCTAAATGACACTACTGGTTAATTAATGCCTCTTAACGAGTAGGTAGGCTTGGCGATCCATAATACGATGTCATTAATCTCTTATACTTCTAATTGGTAGCAAAACAAACGCGTGCGTTTCCTATTTTCAATACCCGGCGACTTTCATTCCGGTTCTAGTAATTTTCACAATATATTAAAGAAATTTTGGCACAACAAAAAACGTATTAAAAGTTGTAATGGCAAAACTATGGTCGATGCTTTTGAAAAGAAGGAAACAAATATGGCCAGTGTGAATCAATGGTATCGGTTAATTAAGTTAATTGAGTCAGTTCACCGTGCCCTGAAGTGTATGTAGAATTAACAAATTGCTTATAGATTTCCATTGACTGTTCTCTTATTGATCATAGATGACGTTCTAAAGTGGTTGAAACTCGCTCAAGTGGAACCACGAGCGCAGCGAGTTCAATAAGATGACGGTCAATGGAATCTATTATTTGATTGAACGTTACGTCATCGCGGCCATGTTGGTGCCATTTAACAAAATATTCCTCATTAGCATCCATTGTTACATTGAAATACACTGAATTGCAAAAATATTGTCGCGTTCATGGAGGCTTTTACCAACACCTTTTTTTAACCTTTTTAATAACGACCGTGCACGTATTTCACTTTTCGGTCTCCAATTCTTATTTTCCTTGTCTTGAACCCAACAAGGGCTTTAAACACATGGTGATTTAAAAACAACAACTACTAATGCATGATTATGGAATATGTATTTATACGGGCAAGGGTACTGGTGAGAATATATATGAAATATATATTTGTATTGCGGTCGTAATGTATCAAATTGAGCTAATCCTCACAGTATATAAAGCAACTTATGCAGCTGCAAATTGAAAGACTCGAAAAAAATATACTTGCAAGGTAAAATGTTGATTGAGAATGGGATTTCAAAAAATAATAATGAATAAAATAACTTATTCCCAAGGGGTCGGTTATTAAAAAAAAAAAAAAACCCGCTGTTATAATAAAAACATCTTAGGCAGTCGTCATTCTAACAGATAGAAAATAAAAATAAGCTTCTTTAAAAATTTCATAATAGCTACGAGTATTCAAGGAAAACGAGAGTGTTCTAGATCACTTTACCATAAAACAGCTCAAGAAGACCATTATTTACTCCGAAAGCTCAAAGAGAGAAATGTAAGAATCCTAGCGATTAAGATGATCTCTCAAATCTTTTTGGAACTGTAATTATCTCCTCTTTCGGCTACAGCAGGAGGCTCTAGTAAAACGAATTATTTCTCAAGGATTTCCCATTAAGTTTTTCTCTTAAGTCGATCAGTCAAGGAGGAAACGTATAAATAGACCCCTTAAGCTTGGTTGTAATGGTATTGTAGTAGGATTACCGGCGTTGAATAACATGAATTATTTCTGAAGACCTTTCTATTAAGTAAGTTCTTCAATCAATTTGAACAGACAATAAGTAGGCTTCGATCTCTTGACCAATTTGGCTCTGGTCGTAATGTTTTCTTCTAAGACGTGTCATTAGTTCTCTCGATTCAATTCGTGTTTCTCCTGTGCAACCGTTAAACAAACAAAACTCTAGAAACGCATTGTCTCGTTCTGATATTCAGACCTCTTTATCAACAAAGCATAATGTTTTCTCATTTCACACAACTTTTTCTTCGCCAAGAGAACTTGACCTCTGGATTTAGTGACAATGCGAAATGCAAATCATTTTGATTGAAGCTGCACTTGAAGTTTAGACATATTGACGCTGACAAGGCTTTTGGTAATACGGTTATTTTATT